ACGTTTGATGACACAAAGATGGACCGTTTCTATGAGAAAGTAACGCACGGGTAGGTCCCACGTTACGCCTACGATATCACCGGCGGTTTTAATAGTCATCCGAAAAATTGAAAAAAAAATGCGTTAACAAAGTTTAAATAACAAGGCAGAGAAGAATACTTTACTCAACTCTACATTACTCAAGTTTCTTCGTGGTGTTGGGTGGGAAATTTATGAAATGGGTTAAATATTTAAGAAGACTTCTCTGAGACTAAAACAATGAGCAACATGTTTATAGGCCAGTACCCCAATGGATGTCCGAACGCGAAAAATTCTTGTCTTTGTTTACGTTTGTCGAATTGCCAAGAGAAGTCATGATTACAGTTGTTTGAAGCCAATTGAGTTGGGCGCTGAGTATTGTAATTGATTTTTATGGCTTCGAGAAAAGCGTTCTCTCCCGAAAGGAGGAGAAGTAATGAAGTTCTCTCAACCAGAGAAAAACAATATGAGGGTAGCCATATGACGGTGTTACTTTACCTAGACAAAGTTTCACTTTAAGAAACTTTGAATATTACATAAAGATGTAAAGTGAAATGTCAATCTGAGGCAGTAGTCAGTCAAGTTATTGGCTTCGAGAGTTTGCAGGCAGATGTTTTGTCTTACTAATTATCTTTTTTTTACCAACTTCTCAGTGGCAATATGCTCTAAAACTGCGTCTCTTTCAGGCTTTTTCATACAAAAAATATAGCGTCTTTAATTAAACGTTGTCACAATCTATGACAAGTTAAATACAATTGCACGATGTTATACAAAGTCAATTTTTGAGTGCAATTCTTGGAATTGTCAGAGCAAATTTGATTTGGTATCGATAAAGACTTCATACGCATAAATAGAAATATCTAGTCATGGCCGGACAAGCGGACACACGTACAATGAGAAAGTGTGAATGGGTGAGCTTACGGGAACTGGTCGCAGTTGCGGTCAGAAATAAATTGCTGATTCACTGCAACCCTTCACAGTTTTAATAACATACGGTTTGCAGATCAATTTTAAACGGAACTTTGGTTGTTGAATGTCCTAATTTTTATTAAATGTAAGTAAATATTTATATATAATAAAATATATATATAATTAAATAAATAAACTATGAAGAAGCCAACGAGATTTTGACTGCCTATAGAAGATTGTAGTAATCATCATTAACTGTAAGTTTAATTTTTTTGAATAATCCAATGATTAGATAAGAACTGACGTTCTTCGAGCTGAACAGGTTTTCTAGAATAATAGTTAAGAACACTATCTCGTCACCGTTTAAAAAAATATTGAATCAAGATCGATCCATTCGTTTAGAAGCTATGATCACACTCACCGATTACCACGTAGAGTAGTACTACTATTATATTAAGTCTTAGGTATAATACAATTAAAAGACATTAAAAGGTTTAAATTTACAAATATTATTAAGTACATAATCATCGTATAGAATAAAGGAAGGTACTCCAAGAAGTAACCTGAAACCACTTAAGGATTCAAACAAACATTGCGTTTCAAACCTGCCAATTTTAACCCGTAGTCGCTAACTTAAATATTCGCAAAAACAAAACTACGGTTACTTCTCAAAACCATGTAACTTTATCGCAAAACTTTTTTTGTTAACCCTGCCGATCCCCTGGGACATAATCCGTGTCCACGCGGAAGGGTTCCCAAATGACAGGCGCGCGACAATCTTTCACAAATATTATTGTATAATATACCTAACTATATGTGATATAGTTCTTATTTTATGGGTATTTGAAGTTAAAATTGAAGAAACATGTTTGCAGCTGCAACAAGATTCAGATGCCGATTGTGTTCAATATTTCAGAGTTATGTGCAATTTCCTATATATTTGGTAATGATATTATCAACAGGGGCTGGTTTTTGTAAAGGACTAGCTGTGTTCCGTAACTTTGCCGTACCTGGAAATACAGTAAAAATACAAAAAGCGCGTGGATATTATTGGTGTATACTCTTAGCGCTCTTGCGGACTGTGGTAAATTGTTTTATCAGTATAACACCTTTTGCCTACACTGCTGACATCACCACACCCTTGGAATCAAAGTACCTTTTTTGTACACACGGGACAAAAGAGCAGACGGGTCACCTGATGGAAAGTGACTACCGTCGCCTATGAGCGGTTGCAACTCAGGAGTCACAAGCGTGTTGCCGGCCTTTGAGGTGGAAGTACGCTCTTTTCTTAAAGATCTTATCGTTCCACTACCGCAGGCGATTCTTGTCCCACAGATTGGCTGTGCGAGGCAAAAAGTGTCTTGAAAAGCGCACAGTTGTGGTATGCCAATTATCCAGATGATGAAAATATTGCCGCGTGGAATGACGGCGTAAAGTTGCGATCGGTATTTGTCCAGACATTTCCTCGGAGCACTCTCCTTGATACATAGTGAAGCTACATCTCTACGTAACGCTAAGGGATCGAGCCGATCGGAGATATCGACGATTCAAGCCGCTCTCTGTTGAATGCGGTTAATAGGGAGAAGCTGGTACTGGGTTGCTGGTAGTGGGGTGGATGAGAACAGTATTCCATATGACTTGCGCCTTATGGAGTTGAAGGCGGTGGGCCGGAGTGAAATACTGCCTCGATCTGTTCCTACACACCAAGCTTCTTCCAGGCTAATTTAGCCTTACCCTCTAAGTGACTGCGAAACTGGAATTCCACGACATATGTTCTTTTTTTAATGTCCTATGTCCCCCTGGATAGATCAGGTGTCCACAGCGAGTCTCCATATAGACCACGACATTTCCATATTATTAATTGATTTGGCTTTTCCTGAAATGGCTAACCACATTATGAAAAAATCGTCAGCCAACCACATAATACACAAATAGAAGAATACTAATTATGCTATTTGTTTTCCAGAGCCATTCAAAGGTGGTCCAATTCAAGCATCTGCATGAAACCCTTGCATTATATTTCATATAATAATGGTAATAAAAATTATAACATCTTTGATGTATTTAGTATTGGTGATATTGAGTGCAATATTGGCACTAACTAATGGATATCTCTAAATTCTATAATTCTGTCTTAAAAACAGCCTCCACATCTCACACATGTTGGCCGTCTGATCCCAAACTAGGCAGAGCCAGTCCTATGGTAACTATACTTCTGCTAAACATACTTTTATATTTCTAAATACATTCATATTTTAGATAAATTTCACGCAAACACAGAAAAAAATGATTGTGCTTATTACACATTTACGAGTATTAAGCCTGAATCTGAATGAAATCTGAGAATCGAACACATGAGTTCTTTTTTAGCAGTAAGCATCACCACCACTAGAGTCAACAGGCCCGCCAAACTTGTGTACTAATACAAAAAAAAAGTGTCCCTTTGATATTGGGTATAGGGACATTACTATTAATGACATACGATTATGCATAAGCTTTACACTATTGCCTTCTTAAACATGATAGAAGTGTTTGTTTTCCTATATAAACAAGTATTTTTATTCCTTTGGTCTCTGGTTATTAAACCTGACTCAGAATCGAACACATGAGTTCCCACTGTAAAACCACAGGCCACAGCTAGCAATAAATTCATATAAGACAAAAATAGTTTGAATAATTATTTACTATCTCTTCTCTATAACTTAAAAGTTCATTATATTTTATTATTATTTTCCTTAGTTTTATTGCTGTGATATCTAGCAATGTTGTATATCAATTTCTGTTGATAATATCCAGTAAGTTATGAGTGTCAACCACTGTACCATAATTATGCTGAGTGCAGATGACACTAAGCAAGTGCCATTGACCACTGGAGTGGCTAACACCACTAGTTAGTGCTAGCCACCATCCTGATGTTAAGCTCAATGAGAGCAGATCAGAATAAACCATCTTTATCAAGAAATATCTTATTATCATTGCTTGCAAAATGTATTTTCAATTCTAGTATGTAATGTCATTTTTTTTATTTATTTGAAGGAAAACCAACAGCTTTAACATTGAAATAGTAAAAATAATTTAGAACATTTAGCCAATTAAAGGTCTTCACAGATAAGCACTATTTTTTTTTAAAGAAATCTTGTCTTAGCACCCATCGTACTGTACTTATTTTAGTGTTAAAAATATCAATGTCATGTGACTTGCAAATGTTATTTCAGGTCTTGCTAGCTCGCCAAAGAAACATATTTTGTCCAAAATTTTATGATGCGTTGGAAAGGTGAATTGGTGCATTTTATAATAAGAATATATAATTTTAGTATTGGTGCATTTTATAATAATAATATATAATATTAGTATTGGTAATTACAAATTAAAAGAGGGTTCTTTGAATTTAATTTTTAAGTAGGGTAGGGTTACCTTACTCAAAAACTAGATGAGCTAATTGTGTCTATTTCATGTATGTTTGTGAAGACCCCGGCAACACAAGATGTTTACCAGTGCAAAAGATGATTTAAAAAAAATTGAAATAAAGAAAAAAATAACAATAAATCTATGAATGGTGCGACAAATTTTATTAGTTTTTTTAATTGTACTGTTAGTTTAGGGCCTAGGATGCCACAGATATCCATACACTTAAATTTATAACACCTCTCCATGTAAGTCGGAGGCTCAAAATGTCCAATGTTAGATGATTATTTAGACCTTCAAATTTTAATAATGTATAAATATTTTTAAAAATAGCTGGCGGTACAAGGAAGGCAGTGAGCACCGTGGGTTAATAATTTAGTGTACCATTATTCTTCTAAAAAATTTTTCTTATTATATGATGTTCCTGCACTGTTTAAACTTGGAGATTGTTTAGAAATGGCCTAAAAATGTATGAAATTAAAATTATATGATAACTGCTATCCGCGAGGATGTCATGTAATAATCTTATAAGGATTCTAATAAGTATATAGGCTGTAATACACATCCTTATGATAACCACAAGTCTGTATTTCATAATGTTTATAACCTAAAATCGTATTAAAACTTTTTGGTGAGCTTTTATTAGTGTGTTTCTAGTATATTCTTACCCTTATTTTGAATACATTGAGCTTTGATGCCAGTAGAAAGGAGTGTTAAGCCTCTTCGTAAGAAGTTCATCTAAAAAAACAATAACAATACATTAAATATTTTGTTTTTGTCTAACTTTATACTCATAAATAGTGGCAGTTACCTCAATAGTAATGCAGTTTGACTATAGTTACTGTGAACTGAAATTTAATTCACATATAATTTTAAAATTGCATTGACAACAATTTAATTTTTTAACCTTACTTTCATGACATAATTTTGACAATCGGTAGATAGATGTCTAGATGAATGTTGCAAAATCAATTAAATATTTCAGATGACCAACTAAAAAAATGCCTGATCTTACTCAAATTAAAATATTATGTTATTATAAAAGGTAAAAAAGTGCTCAATAGATAACATCTATTTAGCACTTATTTTAATCACACAATGTTTTAATTTGTATTGTGAGAAATATAAGCAGATATTTAATCGTTGTTAAAATATTTATTATTTTGATACTTTACAAGTAAAGCGCAAAATATTACATTATTCAATCCTAGTTTGGTTCAGAGGGCCCTCTAACGGGATAATTCATTGAATAAAGTAAGTAGAAAACGAAGTATACGGTACGTAACATAATCGATAGATGTCAGTATACACAGTTTTCATCTTTCTCCTATTAATGGCTCTTTTGCTATCCTCTGAATAAAACCATGTTTATTTTTTATCTTTAGAGCCAACAGGTTGCTCATATGCATACTTATTTATTTTGAGAAATGAAGAACAGATTCATACAGCTTAAATACACAGTTTCGGGTCACTTAGAGGGTAAGGTCAAATTGGCCTCGAAGAAGCTCGGTGTGCTGAACAGATCGTGGCAGTATTTCACTCCGGCCCACCGCCTTCAGCTCTATAAGGCGCATGTCCGGGCGCAAGTCCGGCCGCATATAAAATACTGTTCTCATCTCTATGCAGGGGCACCTCAGTACCAGCTTCTCCCTCTGGACCGCATCCAACGAAGAGCGACTCGAATCGTCGATAGCCAAAAGATTTGCGACCGGCTCGATTCGTTGGCGTTAGAGATGTAGCTTCACTCTGCATTCTCTGTCGCATATATCGTGGAGAGTGCTCCGAGGACTTGTTCAGACTAATACTAGCCGCAAATTTCCGCCATCGTTCCACACGGCAATATTTTCTGTGCGATTTTCGAGACAATTTTTGCCCGCAAAACCAATCTGTGGAAAGGGTTATCATCTGCGGTATTTCCAGACCGATATACGACCTTCAAACCTTTAAGAAAAGAGCGTACTCCTTCCTAAAAGGCAAGCAACGCGTTTGTGACTCTTGAGTTGCAGACGTCCATGGGCGGCGATGGGGCACTTTCCATCAGGTGACTCGTCTGCTCGTCTGCCCCCTCTAACATAAAAAAAAAGTGTTTGGAATAAAAATTGGTATGGATCATTGTGTACCTGACTGAACTGAAGTACTGAAGTCACAGAATTACAATGGGAGTGTTTAATAATCACTAATCACACTGCCAAGAAGGAGCTAGTTGCTCACTCATGTTAGAAACACGAAGTAAAAAATAATCATAGTATGTATAACTATGAAATATACTTTTTCAAACTAAAGTCGCTAAAAACGACTTTTATTTGATACTTCCTTGGATGTGTTTTTGTTCGCCAAATTAAATTGTTTTGACGACCTTTGTGTTTATGCTGTTAGAGATAAATGAGGGTCTTGTTTTATTTGTCTGCGTCCCTGTCATTTATTATCATGGGTAAGTAACAGTTTATCATCATACTAGCTTTTACCGCGGTCGGTCGACGGTATGTCGGTTATCGCGGTAAAAATTAGCCTAGCAGCTCAAGAATCAAACTATCTGCATACCAAATTTCATCTGAATCGGTTTAGCGGTTATTGATTACCCATACAAACTTCCCTCTTCTTTTCGCACCCTCTAATGATGATTTCTGATATAAAAATTATCCTATGTCCTTGCACGGGACTCAAACTATCTCTATATAAATTTCATCTAAATAGAGGTAATCTAGAGGTAACAGCAGATAGACAGACACTTTCGCATTTATAATAATGGTATGGATATGGATTAGCACATTGAATCCCGCCTGTCACCACTGTGATTGCAGTGAAGATTCGGCTCAGCACACGCTGGCAATTTGCCCGGCTTGGGCGTCATGCGCTCCATGGCTGGTAGCGTTTTACTGCAGTCGCATTATTCTGCGAAGATGTCATGTCGCAGAAGGAGGCGGCGCGGAGGGCCTGGGAGGATGACCTCCACTCGGACCCAATTTGCCGCCGGCGAACCGATCGTCGGAGGCGCGCTTAGCAGCGCCTCATGCCGCCCTGTATTTGGCTGCGGGTGGACGGGACGGGTTTTCCCCTCCACCCGTCATAACGGCCAGCGGCTATTTAGGTGACGTCCGCGTGTGCCGGACGTCACCTAAATAGAGAATGTACCCGAAGGTGGTAACCGCGGTGGTATTACGGGCAGGCACTAGGAGGGGTCCAGATGTCTTAATATCAGTAGTGCCCGGATCCTTCCTATTACAGGCGCAGAGTGGCACACCGTGTGGTTTTAGTCGGACAGGGGTATTTTTTTACTAGTTTAAAGCGGTTAAAATTATCTCATTTTTATATAAAGCAGATACATAATTACATTTTATTATTTATACTCAACGATTATGATACTCAACGTGGCTTCTCTACTAAATACCCTTTTCAAAAGAATTGTTCATTATTCGATAAAAACAAACAGGTATTTTAATACTTTATCTTGGACGGTAACAATGATTGTTCAATTATTTACAGACGATAACTATACAAATTGAACAAACAAAAAATTACAAAATAACAATAATTTAAGTTGAGATTAAACTTTTTATTACAATTTAAAAAATTTATACAAACTAATACACCGTAATTTAATAAATGACTGTCCATTCGCCGAAGTACGAAAAATTATTTAGCTGCCATGTTTTTATTTGACTATTTTAACGCGCCAATATTTGAAACTGATTTATTTGTCAGATTGAAACAATTATTTTAAGGTTAGATACATTACACTAGCTTTGAGGGCAGAGGAGTTACCATACATTACGGTTATAGATATGAATAAAGCTAAGTTAATTTTATCTTCGTATTATAGGTTCAAAGATTCAGAAAAAAGACTCCTTTTTTAGACTGATTTCTCGCAGACGTATGGCTGTGGACGGTGGCACCACCAGTCCCTGAGGCCGGGGTTTGCAGCGTCCATTCCTACGCAGTGGGGCTCAGCAGGGTCATCACTGTTGACATAATAATTCCAGTTGTAAGTATTGCAGATCTTTTAAAGCGTTAAAGTGCAATAGGCAGCAGACGAAGTCGTGTAGAAATTTTATTTAGGATGAAGTGTCTGTGAAATATTGGTTAATAAATAAATCACATCACACATCAACAGCCTATACTAGTCCACTGCTGGACATAGGCCTCTCCTTAAGAGAAGGAAAACTTGAAACAAACCCTATACCAACCCGTCTGGCCAGCGTGGTATAGTAGGCCAAAACCTCCTTTCTAAGGAGAGGCCTAATAAATAAATAATAAATATTTATTTTCAGACATATACAGTCCATAGGTTGTTTAGTAATATGTTAGAAACATAATGTACTTAACGTCTATACTTATTAGTATTGCTAGTAACGACACTTAATAGTAGAAAGGCATTCAACTATGCTTTGTTATCGCTATTGCCATCCAGTGCCTTTGTATAGGACAGTCTGACCTACTAGCAATCATCTTCAGGTTAATTCCTGACTGTCTTTTCTGTGCGGTAATCCCCTCGGATACCACCCACCGGTGGTTATGTCGGACTCGAACCGTATAAAACCACACGCCGTCTCGGGTACCAGTAGCCGGGGAACTAGGCGCAGGTACCCTAGAAGGGAAATCCCTGGTACCCCGACGTACCTCGGGCCATCTACGGCGGGTAGATGACCCCTCATGTGAGGGAACCCCCATGTTCCCTTGGTGCTCCGCATCGCATCTCGCCACCACCCCGGCCTACTTCTGCTAGGGTAACAGATGGCCTCACCTGTCACCCCCAGGCCTGCGCTTATGGAGGACGGAGGAATTCTTAACTATCCTCGCTTTATAAAAAGTAATCAGTGCAGAATATTTTCAAAAATGTTACTGAATGGATAAAATAGTATCTAACTTAATATTCTTTTCTATATTACGAATAAAACAAAATAAAATCTATTCCGAGTTCATCCAACCCGGTCGTTCTCTCCTCATGAATGGAAAAGGTCTGTATGATGCACAGGTTTGTCTTCAAGTACCTATTAAGAAAGCAGCTAACTTTATTTTTGTTCTATACATTTCAAATGCAGTCATAGCTTTTTTTCTTTTTATCTTTGGTTTTAATTAAGGGACGCTTTTCGTCTTGTGTACGAGTATAAGAACACACGCCGGGACGAACTCTTTCAACTAAGCCTTTCACTAATTAAATTAGTTGCGTTGGAGGGCAAGTTTGAACTTCATTCACAATTGATGATAATAAAGATCAGAAATAGCGGTAAAACTAGCGAATTTGCCTTTCCTACACCATACCGTGGGAGCGCAATGCTTTGGCACGAATGGGCCGGCTCGACCGGAGTGATACCACGGCCTCACAGAAAACCGGTGTTAAGCAATTCTTTCGTTGCCTTTCACTGAGTGAGTGAGGTTACCGGATCCCAAATCCTCCCTCCCGCTGACTCGAGCGGGAGGGACTCCAAGGGCAGCAACGCACTTGTGACTTTTGAGTTGCAGGTGTCCACGGGGCGGTTGTAGTTGCTAACCATTAGGTGACCCGTCTGCTCTTTTGCCCCCTTACACCATAAAAGAAATCCATAAACACATTCTAAATTGAAATGTAGAAAAAATATACTAACTTTTTAAATTGTATCATTTATTCGTGGCGAGGCTCATTAAAAATAAATATCTCATTTTATTGTGGCATCCCAATTTAGTTATAATATAAAATATTGAAGGTATACTAACCTGTAACCATTCCCGTTACTTCCAGACCATGTGTGAAATCCAGTGTCTTCTATATTTTCTCCTTTAACGAAAAACAATATTATTGCAGTATGGTAACACCGTAACGTACCGTACCAGGGTTAACGGGGTTTTAGTCGCCAAACCATTTGTCGAAGTATTTGAAAGTGTAACCTGCGGTAATGTACCCTACAAGTGGTGAACTACAGATGGTCGATCATTGCAGAAAGTGCCTAAGTTACTCGAATATATAAAATAAAAACATCTAGCTTTTCCAGGAGTTAAGGTACTGGAGATATTCTTTAAACATTATAACTGTCCAAGTACCTTTTTATTACAGAAATAATAGATCACAATAAATGTGATGTTGACATGAATGGGATATATCTGAGTGAAACTGAATTCTCGTTGTCAATAAAAACGGGTTTTTTGTTTTTAAAAAATTTTTTATTCTTGCCTTTTTGGTCTTTAAGAAGCAACAAGTAAGTCAAATATGTTTCAGTCCACCTTGGTACTATAGATAGCACAACACACAACCGTGTCTTCAGATTTGCAAAAAAATGTTAATCCTAAGGATTCTGATCAGGATAATCAGACAAACTTACATTATTGTATCGTCATCGGTCATCGGTTGCAATGCAGTTTATTTTTTGGTGGTAAAAAAAAAATCCTTATTTTCACCACTATTAGAAAAAAAATATTGAAAAATGACACTTAACAAAAAGGTAATTAGGTACCATCGTAGGTCACAGAAAAATGCATAAACACAGAAAAAAGTTACACCGCAGTAAATATAATTATTCGTGTGTCTGCAGAATTAAAAAGTTAACTTGTAACGTTCGCGCCATGTCGAGTTGGTGATTAATCACAATTATGGTATACGTAGGCTTCTATTATGTATATTTTGGTTAAGGTAGGTAGTTTTGACTTTCAAAATATTTTACATCAATGTTACCAAGATTAATGGTTTTGAAAGCATTGTTATGGTTGGTGTGTATTTTCTGAACGATGATAGCTCCTTGATTTCCAGCCTGGTATACCGTTAGTTAATGAGTGAGGCCTACCAGGTTGGTATCAGATGCCAGGACCCATCCCGCCTTAATTATCAGTTTTCAAGTCAGTATCAGTCATTGTCTCAAGATCTCATAACTTACCATCTATGTTTTTCCAAATCTTGTAATTTTCTAGATTATTGATACCAATAAAGGCCAGTAATTTGAATGAAGTGCCCGTGATATCAGAATACTGCATGCCACGAATTAGCTTCTGGATGAAGTCAAAATCATCCTGAAAAAAGATGAATGATTTTTGAATGAATGAATTGAATGGTAAATGGCATGATGCTGTACCGCAATGCGCCTTTTTAAACAATATGAGTTTTAATGTAATAATACTATAATATACTTGGGCTTGACATAGGCTTTATGTCAAAAATTTTTTCTCTTTTTGATGTTTGTGGTTGTGATTTGTCGTTTTTTGAAATTTGCGTACTAAACAGTTCTACTTTTTAACTCTCAACAAAGTTAAATTGCTTTCAATTTCACTTCTGTTGTAACTTTTCCTTAGCCATTGAGTTTTAATCGAGTGCATTTTATACTGGAATCAGTATTAATTTGTGCCAAAATCCAAAAAAGAATGTTTTACTACAGATTATAGATGTTACAATACAAACTAAAATGCCGGTGCCTATTGGTTAAGGCGTTTGACTTGCGATCGTCGATTCAAATCCGGACCGTTACACTACCGACGTGACCCCACTCCTAACACAAGCAATTTAAATTTAGCTTAGCGGGAGCGGTTAACGGGAATACAAGTAATTTCGGTTGCTAGTAGACCTTGTATTTAAAAAAAAAGAATTCCCAGCCTATTCATTTTAATGAATCTGTGTATCATTATCTGGAGGTTTGCGTGAAATCATCAGTATTACGAAATGTAACTATGGTTTGAGTGTGTAATTGGGAAGAAAGTACGACTACAAGAGTTTATAAGGCCCCTGTGAGTAGACGAGACGATGCAGGCAGGCCACGAAAGATTTAGATCGGCAGTGTTGAGGAAGAGCCTTGTGAAAGCATCTGTAACCGGCGAGCTTGCATGAAAGGAAGGCTGAATGAATGCAGAGGTGGAACAAAGTGTATGTCGGAGTCGTTGATCGTTTTGATTTCTGCAGTTATCTTCGTATTAATATTTCGTTATAATTATAGTGGAATAGGATCTGACATTTATTGAACTTTACCGGGCAGCCATTTTAATTAAGTTTTTTTTTTATTGAAACTTTTTTAATTCTAAATCTGTAATTATGAAAATTGGCATACAAGTAAAAAATAGGGTTTGTTTTAAAATGCAATTAAAATAATAACTAATAATTTTACAATTTTCTAGAAAAATCACATGCTTTATTTTACTTTGTGCGCCTATCAAACAAACACTAAATAATTTAAAATCTAAAATACATGTAAACAATTTTTAATGTAGTAATAATAATTAGACAATTTAGTATCCAAATATGGTAAAAACTGAATTTCATATTTTTTTCAAAACCTACATTATTCTACGATTGGATGTAGGCAAGCTAGCAGTAACTGGGAATTACCAGTGCTTAGGACAATTTTTCAAATAAATAAATTACGGGCTGAGTTGGTGATGCTTCGAATAAAGATGAGGCGACTCCCACATATAGAGAAAAATAAACATACTACAGCGCCATCTAACGAAGACACACCGAACTACGGTGTAATTCCTATATGAGAATTACTAAATCCTGTATCGCGATATGAAGAATTCTCTCGTCGATTAGCATATAACAAAGCGAATAATATTTTTATCACCTGTGACTTGGGTACAGCCAGTTTAGCCCCGTCACGTTCGCAGACTTCCTTCGCCTCGTTCCAAACCTTTGATTCATACATCAGCTTGTATGATTTCCCAGAACTTTCGTTCAATATGTACTCTGTAATTTATACATATTCTGTTGAATTATTCAATTATAATGTCATATTAACAATCTTATTAATATTATTAAGGCGAAAGTTTGTATGGATGTATGTTTCTCTTCACACAAGAACGGCTGAGTGGATCTGGAGGAAATTTGGCACAGAGATAATTGTTATGTTAATTGTTATGTTATGTTAAGAAAAATACAACTCCCGCAGTAGGAATACATTCCTGTGTCGCGGGGGACTTTACAAACATACATGAAACGGACACAAATAACACCCAGACTCAGAACAACAATTTCTGGATCACACAAAGTGTCGTCCCATGTGGGGTTTGAACCCACAACACTAGGCGCAGTAGGAAGCGGCGTGGCGACCGCTCAAGCCACTACGCCATTCGTGCAGAGATAGATTATAGTCTGGAAGAGCACACAGGTTACTTTTTATCCCGAAAAAATGTAGTGTTCTCATGGGATGAGCAAAGGTACAACAACAACCGTGGTGCAGCAGTACGTTCATACATAACAAACATACAATCACACCAATTTTCTGAAGGTGTAGATTGAGGTGTATCAGACGCTCGAATTTGCCAACACGGCGGTGGTAGTCACTTACCATGGAGTGACCCGTTTGCTCGTTTGCCCCTACGCTATAAAAACACAGATACCTGGGATCAGCTACCTATATAGTTTTGGAGACCAGACCACCTTGTTTCTTTAGAATGAATCGTCTGGCAATTTGTCTGAGGCTTTCCGCAACTTCTCAATCTCTCTCTCTCTTTTTGTTCCACGGTATGTTACTGTACTTTAAAACGATCAAACAAGCTATCAGAACAATCTTCACTATCATCATCAACAGTCTTTAATAGTCCTTTGCTGACATATGTTACATATTTAAGTAAATATTTCTAAATACATAAATAGTCCATTGCTGGACATAGGCCTCTCCTTAGAAAGGAGGTTTTGGCCTACTATAACACACTGGCCAGACGGATTGGTACACTGTTTTTGTCAAGTTTTCCTTCTCTTTGCAGTGCTGTTGTCCTGCGTAGTTTGAAAAGGGGTGATCCCCACGGGATGAATAGGGGTGCCGGCACTTCGTATTCATAATCCGTCGCCACACAGAAAAAATATGTCATGAAAAATATTGTAAATACACTCACTATCAGTGGGTTTCCCCTGTGTGTAGACAATGGCTGTCAAGCATGTGATCAATATCAAAATTCTGTAAATAATTTATAAACAATGTAAATCAATACTATTTATGAAAAGATTTGTAATCATTTATCATATTTAAGAAAAATCTAGTTTTACCTCATTTTTAAACAATTTCTGCACAATTTGACGTAACTTTTACTCTTTGCCTTCAGATTCTGAAACAAACAGTAGTAAGTTTTATTTCTTAATATTACTTTCTTTTTAAGTAGCTGTAGGTACGTTTCTACATGTGATGTAAAAAAATCTACAGATTTTTAATGTTTTAGTTATTTATCACTTTTCTATTACAACCATGATGGAAATATCGCTCAACAAATACCTATTAAAAAAATACCTAATAAAGCCAGAACATAGTACCTCCTTCTTTTGGATAAAAATGAACAAAGTTGAATTTTTTACTTGAATATTTTGCTTGTTTGAAACTTTATAATTAGGTACTAAGTATAAAGTTAAGTATTGTAAGGTAATTGATATTATCAAGTTAGAACGCCGAGTGGAAAAAACTTAGGCAATTATTTTTCCGCACTAATAATATATAATGTGTCGCGGGGTACTTTAGATACAAACATACATGAAACGGACACAATGAATAACCGGACTCAGAACAACAATTTGTGGATCACCACCCACAACATTCAGCGCGATAGGAAGTGGCGAAGTGAGCGCTTAAACCACCAGTCAATTTAGCAAGATCAATTTTATCAAGATTATTTAATTTGTTAATAAAGATTACTTGGCTTTGCCAATACGTGGTACATACCTTTTAATTGCCTAATGTTTTGACCAGGTTGCACTTGACGTGGGCACGAGCAAACCCAGATCACGTTAATTCCCAAATAATCACTCACAAATGTTAATAAAACAAGTGTATTCTTATCCGAAGTCACACATAGATTGATTCTAGTTTAGTATTTCAACTACAAATAATCAAAGTAAGATACATTAAAAGAAAATGTCGCTTATCACTTTATTAATGAACAATATTCACTAGTAAGTATTCAATATCATTATTACTCATTTCTACGTCATACCGTTTGCAAAACAAATTGTGTGAACTTAACCTCGCGTTGATATAATCATAAATAAACGTGTTTATAATTGGTTATTACTACGTGTTTCAAACGAGTACCAATTGCATGTAATATTTATCATGATTTAAATTACATTTTCTAATTTAAAAGTGTTTATTGTTTCTTTTCATTTTTTTTATTTTTTTTAAGCTTCTATCGAGGGCCTTGAGCGCGGGGACCGAATCCAGAAATTCCGTAACGAAAAAAAACCTCACGCTAAAAACAAAACAAAAAACAGTACCAAAATCAAATGCTGAACGTCAAAGGATTTTTTTTATTTATTTATTTTAAAACAAATTGTAATATATGCTTCAATATTTTTATTTAATAAAAGAAAAAGAATTGTTTTCTTATTGGTCACCACGCTTAAAAAGTGTAACTTGAATTAATATCAAAGAAAAAGAAATATTGCATAAATAAAATAAATAAATAATTATAATTGCATAAGTTGATACAAAATGCTATGCAATAGCTTTACCGCGGCAGTCCCCGAGTGCCACACGTCTTTTTTTTTATTTACACAATTAACTTTGACACTCTTTCTGCTAAATTCGTTAAATACACTACTGTCATGCTTTTTCAGGCTGGCCTGTTGTTCTAATAGTTGGTGACGCGGACTGCTAACCCGGAGGTCGTGGGTTCAGTTCCACCCATGACGGAAATTGTGTGATAAGCACGATCAGTTGTTCTGGGTGTGGGTGTAATTTATCTATACAAATAAATAAAATTGAAGTGTGTGTTTGTAATGTCAAAATAATTAGGTATTTCATGCGCATACGGTTATTTGCGTGATAACTATGCCTAAAAAACCAATTTAAATATTTTTGTCTGTATGTCTGTTTGTTACGTGTAACTTTAAAACTACTGGACCAATTTTAAAAATATTTTACTGTCAGGTAGCCGTCTATATAACGAGTAACTTTGCTATTTTTCCTCTCAGAAAAAGTTTATGAAATTTTGTCCGGTCTATATTCTATTAAATGTATAGTCTATTATATGTAGGTATTTAGAGATATTTAAAAATGTCTATTAGCAGTGCGGTTACCATAGCACAGGCTCTGCCTATTTTGGAAACAAACAGACACAGACACGCTCAGACCAGATCGCTTAACAGCATTACTTAATCTAAGTATAAATCTTAACAATCTCGCAATGTTTTTAAAATATCTACTTACATATCTCTGCAAAATTTTAGCTTTCTAATAGTAACAGCTTCTAAGCTAAACCTCTGGGCGTAAGATCTTCGAACTTTCAAGGAAAAAGCACACTTCTATCTCATAGGGCGGTCACACCATTATTATTTTTTGTTGCAATTGTCCATGCATCACAAAAAACTAATTTTCACATAATTGTAAATGTGTTTTGCACACACACATTTTTAGATCCCACATCTTTGCACTCACTTACCTGACAGGGATCACGCCTATTGTTGTTCTATTTGACTATGATGATGTCCTCCCAGAGGTATCCGTCCTCGGCGACACCCTATCACCTTTCAACAGCTCCGTTTACGCTCACGCGCCCGTACGTGACTCGCAAAGCCGAATTTGGTTTTGAATACACGGTCACATGAGGCACAGTGAAGCTCACCACGCGTATTGTAAGTGTAGTTATAGGAGGGCTTAGGACGAGTTTTCCGAAGCTGGCGTTTGGCGTCAAGGTCTTCGAGACAGCTTTCCGCTTTGTTCTATTTTTAAACTGTTAAATATTTACACGTACCGGTCATCGACCCCAGCTGGCAAACACTTTAACATTCCACAGTCAAGACGTAAGAAATTAACAAAATAATAATTATTGTTACAAATAATAAAAATTCAAAGAGAATCGTACAAATCATTAATTCCTAGCCTATTAGGCTAGGAATTAATGATTAGGCTAGGAATTCCTAGCCTATTAGGCTAGGAATTAATGATTTGTACTCTACAGATTATTTTTAAAATAAATAAATATTTCTTACATCTGACACACAACGCCATCAAGCGGAGCTTGTACTCTTAAAGTCATATTGACAGATAGAATACTTTTTGAAAATACATACATATAAAACACTTAAACTCCGAAACAAATATTTGTAGATCATATAAAGGTCCGATCCGGGAATCGAACCTGAGATCTTAGCACAACAGTCGCATACGCTACCACTGTACCACCGAAAATATATTGAATTTATGCACATTTTTTAACGCTTGTTGTTAACAGATTAATCTAATAACGTTACTCGTTTTTAATGTTTATTATATTATATATATTATATTAATAACATTAACTAATTACTAATAAGAACCTGCGTTAGTTAATTTAAACTTCATTTCATATGAAATTTAATTGACTACCACAAGGTTAATTAATACTACTTAAAAACACTTTGTGTGATCCACGAATTGTTGTTCTGAGTCTGGGTGTTTTGTGTCATTTCATGTATTTTTGTAAAGTCCCCCGCGACACAGGATATATTCCGAATGCGGGACTTGTCCTTTTTAAGAAAAAAAAATGATTAAAATATTACGGTACTAGTATTATTTTGTATGGGGACTCTGCACCATCATTTACCACAGTGAAATATTGGGCAGCTGAATTTAAACGTGGCCGTAAGAGACGAAAACATAGCCAAAGTTCACCAAATGGTGCTACACGACCGCCGAATTGAAGTAAGAAAAATAGCAGAGGTTATGAACATGTCAAAAGAATGTATTTGTCACATTTTAAATCAACATTTAGACATGAGAAAGCTGCCCGCGCGTTGGGTGCCGCGTTTGCTCACGTTAGACCAAAAACGTGTTCAAATGAACATTTCCAACGCTGTGTTGGTGCAGTTTAGGCGCAATAAATCCGAGTTTTGGCGCCGATTAATTACTGTAGATGAAACTTGGATACACCATTATACGCCCGAAACAAAAATACAGTCCAAACAGTGGAATACAAAGCTATGATGGCTACTGTTTTTTGGGATAGTCATGGAGTTATTTTAATCGATTATCACCAAAAATGAAAATCCAGTACAGGAGCATAATACGCATCATTACTTGACAAGCAGAACTTGCGGAAAAACGGCCACATTTGCAGAAAAAGAAAATCCTGTGTCACCAAGACAACGCACCGTCTCACACCTCGCGGTTGCCGTTTAATTACGGTTTGAACTGCTTGACTTTGAAGTCACTTGCTGCTAGCCCCAAGCGACTTCTTCTTGTTCCCTCATCTAGAAATTGCAGATAAAAAGGCCGAGTACTATTTGGACGGGTTACAGATATGGGAGCATCGCTGGGAGAAGTGTGTAGAGTTACAAGAAGACTGTTGAAAAATAAAACTGAAAAAGGTCTCCGACCTAACAAAGATACACTTTGTTAGGTCGGCAACTTTTCAGACTACCTCGTACTTCTTCTCAGAGCTTTTTTATTTTTCGTTATCATTGGACATGTTTCTAACTCTGTTCATTCTTTTAAATGCGCCATTATTACAGCCTATATCTACAGCAAGGAAACCTTAAAGCGATTTAACTGAGCTCTAAGTTTATATTTTTTGCGGACTATCATAGAAGCCACTAGGACTAGGGAGTCCTCCATTTCTATTAAACAATGGATTTCAGTCATGTAACGCCTAATTTGATTATTGAAAGAGAATTGGTACAAAGGGTACAAAGTCAGCAAAAGTATTTATTAAACTGTCATGTTGTACTAAAACATTAACCCGAGGATCTAATTCTTGACAAGCGAATGAATAAAACAACAGGCGCCGATCCGAAGCTTTTATTTCTCATACATTTCCAATTAGATGAAGAAAAAAAACTCGTGTCGTAATCCGCCCAAGTTTTATTGGCTCGCTTGCCGAATGTTTGACTTTTAACATTTATATTGAAATTTTAACATAATCCGGACGAAAGTCGTGCCGAGAAATTCGAACTTGATACGAGTATTTACCAAGTTATGTTCTTGTTTTTGGATTTTAGTTGTCCTTATATAACATAACGACATTACACATATTCAAGCCTCCAGAATTGGAAAAGCGGAGACATATTAAACGACCACATTATGCCGCCATTTTGATAATAGGATGCAAACCTATCCTATCTAGATTTAAATATTTATAGAGATTTTTATAGGTCCTTGTCAGCGGGCGTCGCTTTTTTTGGGAAAGAGACACCATAGGAAAATGTGCGTGTCACTGCAGGGCCGCACATAAGGGCGTTTGTCCACTTGTTTGAACACACATGTGTGTTCGCCACTACAAGCGGTCCTGTGCGCCCGTATCTTGAAGTTTACCTATTAGGCTTTAACTATTCAGTATACAGAATAAAATAAGAATAATACAATAATACAAATCGAACACTTTTAGGCGTAGAAACGCCTGTAGAGAATTCTTCGTTATGTTGGATACATGCTCTTGGGTGGACTCGGGCCATCTGATTTAAGGTCCCCTTCGGATCGATGGCGCACCTAGCCCGGGGGAAGCTGCAGGCTTCCGCCCGCCTATCGGCCCAATCATTTTATTGTATTGCGGCCCGATCGCGTTTTGTCGCGATATGGCCACCATCCTATCCCCTACCACGACAATTAATCTGCCAGCACCACTGCGGACTCATCGACGGCTGGTGTCGAGGCCAACGTCCCCTACGCTTGGGAATGTCCCTTTCCTGATTTTAGGTTTAGAGCAAGAGACCACTGCGCACACAGCCCTCCTTACCCGCCTTAATGGCAATAATGAGTTTAACTATGTACCTAAGCAAACTTTGTATTGGTAACTTTTTGACGATTAAAACTTAATAAAATTTTAATAGTCAAAAAAAACCAAAAGGCGGTCGGGTCGCAGTTTGACGACCATTTTTCAGTTTCAGTTTGTCTATGTTATACTTATTACCCGACTACAAAAGAAGGAGGTTATAAACCACTTTCTCCTTCGACTGAATCTTCTTGTTCAACCTATTGCCGTTTAATGCTGAACGAAGATCTCCCCCAAAGAGCGCCAGCCATCCTGGCTTCCGTGCCATCCTCAAAATGAAGTTTGGAGGTCAGCAGACAGTACACCTCTCGACCATGAGCGGCCTGCTTTAGTTTTTTCTCTTTTTATATATTAGTAATTTGTGAACTGTTAGTATTTTGTGAAATCTTTCATTTAATTGAATTAGTTATATCGGCAAATTTAAGTTGAAAACAAATCCATTAAACAGCCTTTTTCTTTGTGTTTTCTCATTTATTTCTTTCAAAGTTTGTTTCAAATTAGTGAAATAAGAATCTAAACTATGAAACGTTTTTATTTCAACAAACATTTACTTATTGAAAATATAAAAACATTTAAATGCAACTGAAGTAATTAGGTACAAAATAAGTTACAGTTTAATTTTTTTTATTTACTAATTTCTCACAGACATACGGCTGCTGGTGGTGGCACCACCAATCCCTCAGACCTGGGTTGGCAGGATCTATCGCAACGCAGTGCGGCTCAGCAGGGTTATCACTGTTGGCAGAAATTATTTTAGTGTGTATTTTTAAATTATAAAATAATTAGGTAAGTCCAAAAGGATGTTGATTTAAAATAATCCTAAATAAATTGACTCTTTTTAAGTTAGTTAGAAAGTTGAAAAAACCTTCATATTGGTCAGTGAACGTTTACCATTGAGGTGTCAAACCGTTTGTAATTACTTATTGTTGTTTCTTTTTATCGAAAAAGCGAAATGTTACTACGGTAATATGTTTTAATTTTATTAAGCGTTAGTTTGGATCCTTATTTTTATTAATTATCCAATTTAACTACTTTGCAGAATTTAAATTCTTTCACTTAAAATTTTATAATAAAACATAATATAATACTTTACTGAGAATACTTTACCTGTAACCTTTGCCATTATCGCCAGAAAATGTGTAATATCCAGAGTTTTCTATATTTTCACCTAAAAAGTGAACAACTTAATTAAAAATTATCAATAGTCATACAAACAAAAGAAATCACTTAGAAGTAACAAGTCAAGATTAGAAGAATTTGCGAGAAGAGAAATTTAATCGTGGGAGAGTCGTGCTGCGGCACTTATGGGCCAGGCACTACCGGCGTGATACCTCGGCCTCACAGAAAATTTTTGTTAAGCAGTTCTTTCGTTGCTAATCACCATACGAGTGAGGTACGGGAGCCCCAACTCTTCTCCACCCGCTTAATTCTGGGAGGGGGAGGGGGAAGTTTAAGGCCTCAAAGACCCCCCCCCCTCAGAATTAGGCTTTACCATCCTTTGTACCCACAAAGGATGGTAAGGCACTCTTATCATTTGAGTTGCAAGTATCCATGAGCGGTGGTATTCACTTAGCATCAGATGACCAGCCATTAACAGAAAATTGAAGATGAAGAAATAAACTTGTAAATTTACTAACAGACAGGGCTGTTTTGAATGAATTAATAAAGTAATGATATTTCATTTTTATAATAACTTCGTGATTAGTCACTTTTAAGGCAATGAAGAGGAATGGAATTAGATTTTTGTTTCATAGAGTTCTTAATTCCCCTGTTTATTATGACATAAACATCATGACATTTGAAATTTGTCCTAAAACATGACGTTTGTTGACAATGTTATTTCCAATTCCCAATCGTCAAGCTCGAAAGTGACAGACTATGGGCATGATGGTAGAACTTGTTACCTAGCACTTGAGACAGATTTTGCAATCTAAGTAATAATAATTATTTACCCTCGACGTTTTTCCAGACTTTGTAGTTTTCCAGGTTATTGATACCGACCCAGACCACAAACTTGTATGAGGTACCAGTTATCGCCGGATAATACATGCCACGGACAAGCCTCTGAATGAATTCGAATTCTTCCTGAAACGATAACGTAATAATATAGTCCAGCGCCATCTAACGGAAATAAGTAGAAATGCCTTGCGCCAAAAGTTTACTTTGCCTATTGTACAAAAACTTTGGGATTTCAACCAAGACTCTCCGTTTGATTGATCACCACTGTTGAATGTTCACAATGTTGACATTAATAACAAGTCATAAATCATTGTTAATGTAAATCTTACTTTACTTTTATTCGAAGATAGTAGACCTGATACAAGTACCATCCTTTTAGTGCCAACAGTATCAACTTTTGTCACTCGGCAGTAGATGTCTCTGTCTTAGGCGCCTATCAAATCACAGGATGAATATACGGTTACGCAGTATGCCTTTCATTAGCTAATGCCTTACCCTACAACCTCTTCCTTGTATTAAATTATTACATGCCCAAGGAAGGATGGCGTTAGGTGGGGGGCCAGCCAAACCCCTTAGTAATGATGGAAGTAACGCAAAATAAAAATAAAAAAGAGTGGGCAGATAATGCTGATCATTTATGGTCACCTTCGACTTTGGTACCGCGAGTTTAGCCCCATCACGCTTGCAGGTTTCCTCCGCCGAGCTCCAGGTCCGTGACTGATACACCAACTTATATTCTTTTCCAGCTCCTTCGTTTACCGTGTACCCTGTAAATAAAAATATATAACTAAGTTGTCAAACAAGCTGTCGATTATATGATTACCAGCATCCAGAAATATTCACAACAGAAATGGTGTTTACACTACCAACATTCTGAAATTCATGGAAAGAAGAGCACAAGGCATAATCTTAGCAGAAAAACAAGACAAATTGAAATAATAGTTTTAGTTTTCTCATTTCATTTATCTTTTACATTTATTATAATTGCACGGTTCTTTTAATTATTAGTATGTTGTTAAAACATCACAAGCTGTTTAGATGTATAACTGCGAAAACATGTAAATGGTGGATAGTGTTAACACATGTTGTATCCTTTGTTATATGCACTGTATGTTTTCCGAACAAAATAAAATAAAATAAATAAAATAAATAATAATAAAAACTGGAATAACCTAACAAAAATAGCACAAGGCCGGTCTAATCTCAAACTAGGCAAAGACTGTACTAAGGTAACCAGACTCTTGATAAACATGTGTTTTTCTATTTCTAAATATGTACATATTTTAGATAAATAATATTACATCCAGACATTGACCAAAAATGATCGTGCTCATCACACAATTATTTTTCCTGGATGGGAATCGAACCCACGTCCTCCATCTTAGCAGTCAGGATCGCTTACCACTAGACCAACAGAACCGCCATAAGAAACATTTGAGGTATGTTGTATATATTGTACTCGTATTAGGTAAACATGTAAAATAGGTATTGGTATTTAAATAAATAAATGTTTTAAGACAAAGTAATAGATGTTTACCGTTAGTGGGTATCCCATTTACGCCGACAGCTGATAAAAGAGAGGCCAAGATGACAAATCTGTAAATAAAAAAAATTACTTCAAATGCAACCTTATTGGTAGTTTGTGTAATCCAGTTTAAATTTTTGAAATACATTATTTCATCATCAACAGCCTTTAATAGTCCACTGCTAGACATCGGCCTTTCCTTAGGAAGGAGTTTTTGGCCTACTATACCACGCTGGCCAGGTTTTTTTTTTTATACTAGCACCTCCAATGCTGTTTGGAGTCTATTACCTACATTATCCTTCCATACCAGTTTTCGCTTTTGCTACTGCTCGTACTTTCATTCTTCATACCAGATCTTGCGTTCACTCTGCCTTTCGCACTTGTCCAGGTGGGTTGGGTTTTTGTTTCAAGTTTTCCTTCTCTTTGCAGTGCTGTTGTTCTGCGTAGTAAGCTCCTTCAGTCGGCCTACGGGACTGGGGTGGTGACACTCTGTAATCTTAATCCGTCACCACACGGACTTTAATACACTGTAAAAAGCTGAATTTCGCACCTCTTTCAACTATTTCATAAATATTGGTCAACTTAGCGGGGCCACTGCTGTACTCCCAGATGTGTTAGGGACTGTGGCTTTAACAAATATTAGCTCTTACCTCGTGTTGAAAAAATTTTCAGTCATATTTGGTTTAATTTTAACTTTTCATACGTCTGATATTTGTTTCTGAAACAAAACATATTTAATCAACTATGAACACAATTAATCTAATATAGTGAGTCAAGTGTGTATCCGTGTAAAAATGAATTTATTGATACTATGTTGACTGGCCTGGTGGTCCAACTTGTTAGTAATCTCGGCTGTTAAGCCAGACTGCTAACTGATCATGAGTTGAGGGCAAGTAAAAAAGTTTCAAACTAAGCACTTTTTACTATGAAAACTAGATTGACTGATAGAATACTTACATACATTTTTTAGAGTTCCGTACCTTAAAAGGTAAAAAGGAACTCTTATAAGATCACTTTCTTGTCCGTCTGTCCGTGTGTCACCATCGATTTTCTCAGGAACCTAGCAAGTTGAAATTTATACCAGATACTGAGGTCTATGGTCCCTATTAGGTATATAAAAATCAAGTAAATATTTGCAGATCATACAAACATTTGGTCTGGGAATCGAACCCGAGACCTCAACACAGCATACGCTACCATTGCAATACCGAGTCAATCAAAACTACTTACCCTGATTCATCAACAAAGAGCCTAAACCGCTGAGCTAAACCGCATACGTGCGAGCTAGAATATCTATGTTATAGCCTAAACCGCTGAGGTGAGGTGAGTGAGGAGGCAAACTTTTTAAAGCTGATGCTTTTTATGTTGTAACCACCCACCCAGAGAGAATTTTGCCCCTAAGAGGGTAAAAAAAGGTATGAATGGTGTGGAAGTTTGTCATTTTCAAAGTTAGAAACACGAAATTAACGAAATCGCAGACCATATCTAAAAATATAACTTAAACTTACAATTTGTTATGACCTATATGACCTATATGGGAGAGTAAAGATTGAGAACTGTAAATCATTTTTTTTTTATTAAAACAGTCGAAAGTCTGCCAGGATCGAGACACTCCACCACTAAACGCTTTTCAGAAACCTTTACGCCTCGCACTACGAATCTGTAGAACAAATTTCGTCTGTGGAGTTTCCGACTGGTTTGATCTTCAAGCCTTCACTTACTATCAGAAGACCTTTTGTGAGTTTGAGGGCCGCACTGAGGCTTTAGTGTGAGTTTATTCCACATCTACTCGCTGAACTCTTCACCAATCGTTACGTGACGATCGAGTTGATGTGGCACAGGGCCCCCATATAAGTCTCCTAACAAACTTTTCACTTACGGAACCCTCCGAGCACGAGTCAGACTCACACATGTCAGATTTTTTCTCTTTATACAGCCTGTTGCTTCCAATCGCTTTAAGTAATTGGTATGTGGTTGGTTCTGCGACACACTGACCTATTTCTTCACCCTTTCATTTATAGCTATGTGTTTTCGCCTTTAGTCAATCTCGCGTTAAATCGACTGTATTCTTAAACGAATTGTTGAGATAACTGGCTGTTATAGGTACTACGGCTTTATAGAACTACGTTATTTTAAATCTGTGCATCAAGGTCCCATCTAAAAATTTTAAATAGAAGAAATAGTATCGCCATTGTGTTTGAGCACAGCGCCTGCTCGAATTTTATGTCAACACACAAGGACATTAAAGTGATCGTTAGTAGTTAAAAGGACCCTGTTTTGTAAACTTTTTGTACTGTCGGTTAATCGACACAATCTGTTCGACCATCGCTTAAGCCACAGCTTTTAAGTACTTCTGAAGTTTTCCTTAAAAAGACCACATTTCCCCAACAATGTGTATGTATCTCCAGTATCTCAGCAGATAGAAAACAAGATTTAAAACCTTCTTAGGGTTCAAGTACCACTGAATTGTCTTCTGTTTTGTTTATTTCGTAGTGTGCTTTATGGAGACGTAAAATAGGCAAAGTTTATACACGGTGATTTTGAAAGCGTTTTGGAAAAGAAAATTTTGAGTTATTTATCAGTAACAGAAGCTATATATAACGTTAATTTAATAAAATATATTTTTTTTTATCATCAAAGTCGATATTCATATCGTTTACAGAGAAAAAGTCAGAACCAGTAGTAGTAGGCTATTCAATCACACGTAGGTAAATACTACGAATAGAAATACTATGCGTGTCACATCAAATCGTATTCGCCAATAAAAACAAAGCTACCGAGTTGCGCCGGAGTCGTCCAACCAATGACGTCTGCCCCGTAGGCGCATGCGCGGGGCTCACCTGTCATCGTCAGTCGGTCAGTAATACCATAACATCGTGACGGCACGCTGCATTGATTAGCGCTAAAATGAGTCGACAGTACGAATTTTCAAACGTGGAATACTTCTTGGCAATGGTACAGCTGTACGCTACTGCCAACTACAACTTGGAAGAGGCTCGGCGTTTGTATTCCCAAGCCGGAGCATTTAAATGCACTACGGCTACGTTGAATTGAAAGCCCTCAAATTCCCTCCTCACCTACTATCTTGGCTGCAACCCAACGTCTTCTCTACCACGGACAATTTCGTGCGCCTACTCATACGCAAGGTCAAGGACGTTTTAATTATTATTCGCCGGAGTGTAGTGCGTGCATACCTGGACAATGAGCTTAGTGATCGGACTTAACGCCCCTGGATTTTTTCTTATGGTCGGAAATAAAAAGACTTGTTAATACACGGGAATATGAAAGCCGTGATAATTTACGCATTGCGATAGTGGACGCTTTAAAGTGAAAAGTGATAGAGACACATTAAGAAAATTAAAAAACAATTGCATTAATCGTGGACGTTTGTGTATTGAATGCAGCGGACTCCATTTTGAGCAGTTCCTTCGATACAGAGAACTGTAAATAGTGTAAATAGGTATGTAAGTTAATTATTCTGTAGATAGCTCCGATTTTTTAAATACGCCTGAAATATTTATACCTACAGTCCGTTGATAAATTGATTTGTTGTGAAAAGAACAATCGTGGTTAATAATCGAAAAGAAGTTTAAATAAAATAGGTATTTCTGACGGTCCTAAGCCCGTGTAAAGTATGAAGGACAAATTGGAGTCTATCTACGTAAGTACTCGCTAGCTCGCGCCTATAGGTATAGTTTTGTCAGCTGCTGTTAGCGTCGGCGGTGCGCAGCGGCCGCCGAAACGCCCACGGACGTGTTTCATTCATATAAGATAATGAATGAACGATCAGTCCATTACTACTTTCCAAGTCGATCGAGTAAAAATGAATATTAAAACTGAAACTTTTTTTTAGACAACATCACAATTGATTTAATCATTTTTATTGGTACTATAGATGATTCCAAATTCAAATATTTCGTTTCCAAAACGCTTTCAAAATCACCGTGTATTACCTTCCTCGTCTGCGTCATACACAGTTTTATAGCTTTGCAATAGATAGGTAAAGAATCGTGAAATATATTGAGATAAGAAAACTTTACGAAATGCACATCCAAGATAGGTATTTTAAAAGATTTGTCCTCTGCTGGGTGTTGTTATACATATATAGTATGTGTGTGCACGTGTAAGCGCGCGTGTGTGTACATTCGCATGTGTGTTTGTGAGTATGTGCCTTTTCGTGTTGTGCGTTTTCGTGTGTATTACCTATTGTTTATACATTGTACACCTTATATCTAGTATAGGTTCATATTAAGGGCGATAGTACTTATGTCTTAAAATGTAATCTAGACGAAAGTAATAATAATAATTTAGATCAAAATAGTATATCCATTTTTAGGCGAATTAAAAAAATGATTTTCTTATATTTGTTTTCTAAGAACTGCTCACAGCTGACCCACGCTACTTCGTATGCGTCCTTCAAAAACTTAATATTTGCCCCGTTTTTTTCAACATTTTTCATTGATGCTCGGCTCCTTTTGGTAGTAGCGTGATTTATATATATATATATATATATAGCCTTGGTAGGTGGCCATCCAATACTAAAAGATTTTTTTAATTCGAACTAGTGGTTCCTTAAATTAGCGCGTTCAACCAAACAAAAAAACTCTTCAGTTTTATAATATTAGTATATGTTAGATTAAGATATGAGTAGGCCGGGTATGCTGCCCGTTTTTTTTTTGAAAACAAAATACCATATCCTATTTTTGAAAATCAGGGAATCAAGAATACAATTTTACAATTAATTGTGGTATTTTCAAAGCCAATTATTATTCCGCTACAAAAGAAAATACACTATTATTACAGGAGCTTACGAAAGGTTTAAGGACTAATTTATATTTTAAAACCCTACTTGAACAGTAAAACGTCGATACTCATCTGTCTGTGTTCTTTGTAAAGTTTTAATTTAGGGTTGTTTTAAGGATTAATATCGCCCCGTTTGTACAAGTTATTAGGTACACATAGATGGATGATACAAGTGGTAAGTAGTACTTCATATAAGGCCTCTCTGATAGAACTATATTAAAAAAAAACAGTTACGTTTTCGAGACGATAATTTGTTTTTTTTTTATAGCAGGGATTCAACATAAAATGTGGCTGATATATGCAAGAGTTTTGACAGTCGCATATTAAATCTGTAGTAACTTTAATGGATAACGAAAAAAATATTTGAACAAATATTTAACGGAGACTCATCAAACTACGAAGTAACTATAAATCTTGGACCGTAATTCGACCCGAATAGAATAGGATTTAGAAATCCCCGGTTACTAACGTTATATTTAGTGGGTGTTAAATATATAAATAGATCCACATAACAAAGGGATGAAATTTTATTAAATTATTTATTTATTTTTATGATAAGGAGGCAAACGCGCAGACGGGTCACCTGATGGTAAGCAACAACCGCCGCCTATGGACACCTGCAACTTATAATTCACAAGTGCGTTGCTGCCTTTGGATTCCCGTCGAGTCAGCGGGAGGGGGGATTTGGACTCCGGTAACCTCACTCACTCAGTGAAAGGCAACGAAAGAATTGCTTAACACCAGTTTTCTGTGAGGCCTTGGTATCACTCTGGTTGAGCCGGCCCATTCGTGCCGAAGCATGGCTCTCCCACGGTTTTATAATCACTTAAATAATTAATTAAATTCACAACTAACCAACTGAAGTAAGTACCAAATATAAATTCACTAGGAATTAAGTCTTGTGTAACTCTTCTGTAATATACTTCTGTAAGTAATATATTTAAAAAAAAAATTATCATCACATCACATCACCAGCTTTTAATAGTCCACTGCTGGACATAGGACTCTCTTTAGATAGGAGGTTTTGGCCACGCTGGCCAGACGGGTTGGTATAGGGTTTGTGTCAAGTTTTACTTCTCTTTGCAGTGCTGTTGTTCCGCATAGTTTGTTCCCTTAGTCGACTCTTACGACACCCAGGGAATGAATCGGGGTGGTGACACTCCGTATTCGTAATCCGTCACCACACGGACATGTATAAAAATACCTTTAAATGTAAACTATTTTTTTATGCTAGTCAAAATCAACATGCTACCTTAATATCTGTCTGGAAGTTTTTATCACGATGCATAATTTTCCAAAATTTAATAAGATTATACCTGTATTTAAAGATAATATTCTGAAATTATCCCCCCTTTGTGACATATGGTGGAGAGGGTTAAAAAGTTACTACAGAAAACAACACGCGATAAATGGACGATCCCTAAGGGCCTTTAAAGAGTTTTGAGGCCAAGCAACTATTTGAGTAGGCTCATTATAGCTTTTTTTTTTATCCTTTTAGTTTCTAGTTAAGCTACTTAATCTTGGAGAGCAACTATTTGACTTTGAAAGATCGGGGGTCGGACCAAATGTTTGTATGATCTGCAAATATTTCTTTCGAAGTTTGGGTGTTTTTTATGTATAATATGTATGTATTTACAAAAAAAGTAAATAAGTAATCTATCAATCAATCTAGCTTACATAGTACAAGCTCTGCTTAGTTTGAAACTAGATGGCGTTGTGTGTTAGATGTACGAAATACTTGTTATATTTATTAGCCCTTTATGCGCAATATTTAGCCAAACACCAATAGATACCACCTTTATCAATCAAGATAATTGTATAAGATATAAAAGAATGTAAGCTAACTCGGAGAAAAGCAACGAAAAACCGCTTTACACCGGATTTCTGTGAGGCTGTAGTATCACGCCGTTCGAGCTGGCATTGGTGCGGAAGTATGGTTCTTGCAGTTTAATTTTAAAATATATTTTAAAGCATGGTTCTTTCACAGTTTATTTTTAATATATATTTTAATAAATTATTATTAAAATAAATATTTTAGGAATCAGAGTGGTTAACAAGAAGAATATTAATAAACCTACAAAATCATTTGATTACAACAGATGTGATGACGGAGTAAAAATAAGGAGTGTCACCTATTATGGGGTCTTATGGCTCTTACGACATCAACTGGATGAATATATGTCGTCTATATATTCATCAACAGGACAACAACACTGCAAAGAACAAAACTTGAAACAAAACCCTATACCCGCGTTTCTGGCTAGCGTGGTATAGTAGGCCAAAACCTCGTTTCTAAGGAGATACCTATATCCAGAATATTATAGGCTGGATATTGATGATGATGATTAACCCTACAAACTAATTTGTTTACCACAGATAAGACAAATTCAGTACCAAAATTCATATATTTTTATATAATGGGTCATTGACCTTTGACCTAGACAGATCAATGACCTATGTACTAATAAGATTATATACCTATTAATTAATATACCTACATAATGTATCTAAACATTTCATGTTTTGATTAATATTACTAATATTATATTATTTCACTAATGTAAGTCAATGAAAGCATAATTAATTTTAGCTATAAGTCACTTAATCAGACAAAGGTACATAAATACGTGTATTCTTACCTGAAGTCACACACAGATTGATTCTCGTTTAGTATTTTGTCTCACATTAATATCCAAACGGCTATGTTACTTTTATCTGAGACATTATTGTAAAATATACCTTATAAAGTTACAAATACGATAACAAATTGGTAAATATAAAAATTCAGTCACGTTTGTTGTATAAAACCAAAGATTAATTTGAATAACGGATCGTTTCAGCGAAATTCGCTCTGCACAACAATTTAAAGCTTATAACATTTTGACACTGACTTTAAACAAATTTGTTATAAATACTTTTATTAAATACAAGGTGTTAAATATGTGAGTGTTTTCAATAGTAGCAATAAATTTACGTTTGATGAACTTGACACTTGACCGCGAACCGGGTTTTTTATTTATTCACAAATCGAACTTGAAGTTCAGACCGATATGTCACGTTGACGTTATACCGTTGACTGGGGATAGTGAAAGTCGTAACTGTCGAAGGTACGTGTAATGTGATTAGAATGTTAATGTGGATTTATTGCATATGGTTTATACATGGATCTTTCGTGCCTTTTATTCTTCTTTTAGGGTGCCGTACCCAAAAGGGTAAAACGGGACCCTATTACCTTTTGTTTAAAAAAGACCACTCCCGCATTAGGAATATATCCTGTGTCGCGGTGGACTTTACAAACATACATGAAACGGACACAAATAACACCCAGACTCAGAACAACAATTTGTGGATCACACAAAGTGTCGTCCCATGTGGGGATCGAACCTTCAACAACACTCAGCGTAGTTGTAAGTAAGACTAAGTAATAAAAAAATAATAACTTAAACTTACATATCAGTTTAAATTTCTGGTCACTAGATTCATGACACATAGCAAAGTAAAACTCTGTTTTCCACCGTTTTACGTTTTACAACTATGAATGTCATTACTTAATTGAACTAGTAACACAAGAGCAGGACAAACATGGCTTCTCCAAACAGTGACTTGCTGACTCACCTTTATCTGAGAGCAATCGACACACGATAACCCCTTACCACCAAGCACGCAACTGCCTTTTAACTAATTACTTATCTATATACTAAAATAAAACGTCAATACCAATAAATAAATAGTTTATTAACAATAATCTTATTCTAAGAATTTACTACCCGAAAATATGAAACCCATGGCCAGCACCCTGCCCTCCGAAATACAACCCCGTACCAAACCCACCATAAATACTTCTCACAATATTAACTGGTTCTTCATTCATGTTCTCATCTTTGTTCTCCATGAGCCTGTAGTGACCTGTCTTTGGGTCAATTTTGTGCACAGTGTGCAAAGACTTCTGCAGCGGTATCACGGATAAGTCATGAAAAGGCACAAGGTTATGTGTGTATGGAATCAGCATTGACGGCGTTGGGTGGGTTACATTTGAACTGGTGCGGGAAACTGTTTGAGAAATGATGGGAATTTTGATGTTGTCATTGGTGATGATGTGTTTTACATCTGTGTGGATGGAACTGTGATGAACATTGGATTGCGACAATGGGATCACGTGAAGATTTGGTACTATTATTTGCGATAGTGGTATTGAGATGATGTTGGGACTTTTCTTGACTCGTGGTGGTGTAAGTATCATATGGGTGGGTGATGTCTCCGAAGGTTGGTGCGGTATGAGTAACGGGAGTGCGTGGGCTGCTTTCGGTTCCCTGAATTGTCGTAACGGTGTGTTGTCGGCTCGATGCAGGTGAGCGATTATCATCAGGATTGTTAGTTTTGTCACCATCTGAAATGAAATGGTAAAAATTTAATTCAATAGTCAAAGATCGTACTGTTAAATTCAGTATTTTTTTTTGCTAAACTAACGAAAGGGATGGCGATGAAGCTTTTAATCAGGATTGGATCCAGCTTTTAACTCAGGGGAGGGGCAAAAGGTCTTTCTTGTGTAGTATTCACGAAAAGCTCTAACATTATTATCTACTTGACATGTCCAGCTCAAGGGGATGTTGAACTCTTTGTCAAAGATATCACAGTCATTTCTATGTAATTATTGTATAAAATCTAAGGTTCCTAACCTTGATTTCCTTGCAAAGTCACAAACCCTAGTTTAAACCATTTAGTTTTCATGTGTCTTCACCACAAATATTAAACTAAAATTATTATAGAATGGCTAAATTAAGCCTTAGTGGTCCAGTATTATACTTTGATTGGTCATCGTACAAAACTCTACAATGACAGCTTAAGTTACACTGGTCAACTAAATAACAATAGTTGAAATAAACTAAAAAACACGCTTTTTATAGAAAACCAAACAAAAAAATAGAAAATATTTTTTTTATAAATTTGAAAAAAAAGCGTTTTTTTTTAAATATTATTATTTTTTATTTTAAATTAGTGTATTGTCATCAGTCCTTGATATATCTACAAAGTTTGAACGAATTCTAACCGTTTAAAGTCAGTCAAAATTACGCCCAAAGGAGTCGGTTACAAACAAACATACAGGTGAAGCTAATAAAAAGCGTGTTATAACAAGATATTTAATACAATACAACCGCCAGTATATTCCGACCGGCCGACCTTTAGTATATTATTATTGTCATAATACGCCTATTTATTGAGGAAGCTTACTCCAAATACAACATTACTCAATTTACCTAACACCTACTACATCATGACCGGATGGCGGGTAATAGCCGGTAATAACCGGTAATAATCGGTAATATATCGGTATTATACCTGCGGTGACGTAACGCTCTCGCACGTCATTATCTGGTATCCGACAGCCGATATTAACGCGTACACGATACGTCAATGAGTTCTTGGTGGCGATATTGAAGCGTTGGTAAGGTGTTTCACATTATATCTGCGATATATCACATCACGTCAACAGCTTTTAATAGTCCACTGTTCGATATAGGTATCTTCTTTGGAGGTTTTGGCCTGCTATACTACGTTGGCCAGACGGGTTAGTATAGGGATTGTGTTAAGTTTTCCTTATCTTTGCAGGGCTGGGCAGGGCAGTTAGCTCAGTTATTCGCCTCTTACGACACCCACGGGATGAATAGGGGTAGTGACATTCTTTATTCTTAATCAGTTACCACGCGGATAGTAAATACATACCCATATATTATACATGAAAACACGGACTAATGTAAATCAAAATTTTTTGCATACATGTCCTGAATCAAACCCATGATGCTCGGTGATGTAAAAAATCCACAGAGAACGCTGATGCCACAAAGAGAGAGCGAAAAGAAATTTAGTGGCCAATAGTTGGACACTAAACTGTTTTCCATTATCGCTGTCACATCCGCTCAACCGTGGGAAAGCCATGCTTCGTCATAAATGGGCCGGCTCGACCAGAGTGATTCTATTGCCTCACAGGAAACCGGTGTAAGAAATTATTTCGTTGCTCTACACTGTGTAGTGAGGGTACCGAAGTCCAGTCTCCCCTCATCCCGATTCTGGAGGAGTGGACTTTAAGGGGGGGTAACGCACTTATGACTCTTGAGTAGCAGGGGTCCATGAGCGGCGGTTGTCATTTACCATTAAGTGACCCGTCTGCCCGTCTGCCCCATTATACCATAGAAAAAAACAGTTTTTTCCCAGTTTTGTACAAAATTCAGTTTCCAAAACTTATAATTACTTTTATTCTTGAGTTTTATAAGAGAAATTGTACTTTGATGATTGATTACGTACTTTAAATTAAGACTTAGTACATGTATTTATGATGATTTATTTACAAATGTATAGTTTTCTCATTTTTTGTACTTTTAGTATAAGACGATGTTACTTGCCAAATTTTGGAGTTATAGGTCAATGGGTACCCTATGAATTTTGATTTCTTAGAGAGTGTGGGATTAAAACCATATATCCTTAGGTCTAAGGTCCCTTGAAACATCCCGCAAAACACGTATATGTTTTGCAGGATGCTTCAAGGGGCCTTAGACCCGAGGGTATGATTTTAATTTCAACTCGATACCTCCACGCGTTCCAGAGATAAAAGGTCTGAGAAAAAGGATTTTTTTCAATGCTTTTACAGCTTTTCAAGTTTATACAGACATATCAATGATCTTTGATTTCAGCAAGCAAATGTCAGCCATCATTCATTTTATTGTTTAAATAGAAATATTAAAATGTCTTCACATCTATACTAATATTATAAAGCTGAAGAGTTTGTTTGTTTGTTTGTTTGTTTGAACGCGCTAATCTCAGGAACTACTGGTCCGATTTGAAAAATTCTTTCAGTGTTAGATAGCCCATTTATCGAGGAAGGCTATAGGCTATATATCATCACGCTAAGACCAATAGGAGCGGAGCACCAATGAAGAATGTTTCGAAAACGGAGAAAGTTTATTACTATTGAGAGACGCAGACGAAGTTGCGCGGGTCAGCTAGTCAGATATAATAGATTATGGTCTGTGACAAAAGATGAAGATTTAAATTGATTAATTACTTTCTGTTAATCTTTTCTTTATGGAGGAGTTTTAAGTTTTATTTTGACTGGCCTGTTGGTCCAGTGGTTAGTGACCCTGACTGCTACGCCAGAGGTTGTGGGTTAGATTCCCACCCAGGACAAATAATTGTGTGATGAGCACGGTCATTTGTTCTTTGTCTGGGCGTACTTTTTCTATAATATGTATGTATTTAGAAATATATAAGTATGTTTATCGGCAGTCTGGTTACCATAGCACAGGCTCTGCCTAGTTTGGGATGTGTTAAAAATATTATTATTATTATATGGAGTTTTATTATGTTATATAATACAACAACTCAATATCCGACAGTCTATAACAAGAGTTGACATGTGTGAATAAATGAAATTGCTGTATCTGACCATTCCATTCAAGCAATTACGACAAAAAGGTCGAATACTGATTTACCTTCTATAAAGCTTCTAAAATTTAAACAAATATGAGTTATTTAATGGTAGAGAACCGTGATAGAGACGCTACGAGCCTTTTTTGTGTCGGGGGTTAAAAATCACGCACTTGTCTGCTTTTAATACAAGTATTTTATTTTTAAGAACGTAGACACAATAGATATTAAAGAACATAATAAGTTTTGATAAAATATTTCAAAATCTGCCTATCATATTCATAGTCTGCTATTGGACTCTGTTTCTCCTAGATCCGCCCGTCAAACCATTAACCCGGTTTTGGGGACAAAGAATGTAACTACATGTACACAAATAAAATTGAAGTTAAGTAAATAATAATAGAAAACAAAACAATGTTATTCTTTTTTAATTTTGTTTTTCAAACAACTCCCGCATTAGGAATATATCCTGTGTCGCGGGGGACTTTACAAACATACATGAAATGGACACAAAGAACACCCAAAGTGTCGTCCCATGTGGGGATCGGACCCACAACACTCGACGTAGTAGTAAGCGGCGTGGCGACCGCTTAAACCACTACGCCATCGATGCAGTCATGCTTAATATTTGTTTGGTTTCAGGGTTACACTAATTTCAGGAACTACTAGTTCGAATTGAAAAATACTTTTAGTGTTGGATAGCTCATTTATCGAGGAAGGCTGTAGGCTGTATAACATCACGGTACCATTAACAGGAGCCGAGCATCAATTAAAAATTATTGCAAAAATGGGTTAAATTTATTCCTTCTACAAGACGAACACAGACACAGACAGAACACAGACAGACGAAGTCCCGGTTAAATATTCACCGATAAAAACTAGTATTCAATAAAAATCTGAACAAAAAAACTGAAATTCATTTAAAGGATACGCTAGGGCTTACAGCGTTAACTCCACAAAAGAGGTTTAAACTTTTCCAATATAGTGAAGTTGCGTGGTAATTAGTGCACAGCCTGTGCACTCGAAAAGCTTAATTGAATATTAGACTTTATTACGTTATGTAAACGTCGAAATTACTTTGTACAATCCCTAATGATCGATTACTAAATAATATTTTTTGTTTTAAAATTTCGGTTGCTTACTTTAATATATCTTTGTTAGATGGCGAAGTCCTTATTTATATGTCAACGCCATCTAACGAAGACACACCGAATTACGGAGTTAATAATTATCCTGCATCGCACAACGAAAGTTCTCTCGCCGATTGCATACATATTTAAAACTTCTTGATCATCTTGTCTGATCTTGAAGATCTTCCAGTTGTAATGGAAATCCATAACCCAAATTACATATTACAAAAAATAATTACTAATCATATTTTTAGGTAGTTCAATTACAGTGGAGGTCGGGGCTTCATTTACCTTACATATAGTGAATACTAATTAATTCGAAAAAAATCATAAAATGCCTTCTGTCGCTGTACTGATAACAAATAGCTGTCTCTTTCACTCTTATACTTCCATATTTCCCATAGCACTTGTAGCGTATGTTGTGTTCTTAAATACATTAATAGATGAATGTACGGTTACGGAACAAATATTTTGTGCGTTCAGTAGGAATATAACGTTTCTTCCTTCAAATATCATTGTACGAGCTCCCAGACTAGGTTTGACTAGTGTGAGACTGGTCTAGTGGTTAGCGATCGTGACTGCTAATCCAGAGATCGTGGGTTCGATTCACACTCAGGACAAATGTTGTGTGATGAATTTAATTGTTGTGTGAAAATTATATTATAAATATTATCACGTAGCATGCTCCATTTTATTATAACATTGTGTATAGTAAAAAAAGTGGATAATGCTGTTGGTAGTACAATTAGCACATTTGTACCTAAAATTAATATTAATTATTATTGAATATTGTACTATTGTTTGTTATCCCTAATAAATAAATAAAATGACCATTTAT